CATCTAAATGAAATGTATGAATCTAGAATCAAAGAATAAAGGACTTAACCAATTCTTAAAAAAAAAAAAATAAAAGCAGTCATAAGTGAAATCCCAATGGAAAAAACTTCATGACTAGATCAATTTACATGTGAATTCTCCCCAATGTTTAAAGAACAATTACCTCTGATATTACAGAAAGAGCCTGAAAGAAATAGAAAAAGAAGAGGTCCTGACAAATTCTTTCTATGATACAAATATGGCATTGATACGTTGGTAAATAAATTCATAGATAACTCTCGTCTTTCCTTTTGCTCGTGTTTGGATTCCTGTCCCTTGGCCCACTTATAGTAAGTGCTGAATACATGCTCAATTGCTCTGCCTAGATATTTTGTGCCTTTTCTAAGGATTTTCAATGGGACTTCCCTACTACTTTCTCCTGGATTTTGCTATTGCCATATATAAAGGCAATTGATTTTTGTGCATTTATTTTTATTCTGCTATCTTACCAGAACTATTAATTGTCTAAAAATGCTGTTGGGCTTTTGTTTGGGGTTTTGTTATAGCCACTGGTTTTCTGAGGTTTTCCAAATAAACCACTCTGTCATCAGCAAATAGGCATAATTTTATATTGGACAGATTTAGAGCCATCTCCACTCCAAATGTTTACGTGGACTATTTGAGCCCTTCCTGGGGTAGAGCTTCCAAGTCGGTTCTGGTCCAGTCGGCCACAGTGGGACATACTGTACCTTGACCCTGGCATAGTGACGTCATTTTGGTTCTCTTTGAGTGCAGCGAACAGCAGTCAACCAACCAGCTCTTCCATTGTTATTGCTAGTATTTCTAGGGATATGAACCTATTTCTAGGGGACTGAACCTATGATTTCACAGGTATTGGGAAAATATTGTTTTAGTATTTCTTGTTGTATCATGAAGTCATTGGCTCATATTTGGTCAATTCTAGGTCCAAAAAAAATATTCTTCAACAAATTTCTCTCTTGAGGGAACCCCTGACGCTATTTCAGGTTAGCATCTCCCTCGCAATTTAGATATATAGAGAATTGTTCTGGAGCCTTGGGAAGTTAGGTGATGTGTCCAGGGCCACACGTCAGAGATGGGATTTAAACCCAGTGTTCCTGGTTGATCATATAACACCCAGGAAGACAAGAGTCAGGATCCAAAAAGACTTTGACATTTAGTTAAATCTAGGAAGATGAAATTCAATGGTGATAAATGAAAAGCCTGATACTGGGGTCTAAAAATAGCAGGTTCAGGATAAGAAGTCACACTCTGTGATAGGAAAGATGGGAAACAAAGTAAATTCTCATTGATTAGAGAATAGCCAAACAAATTGTGGTGCATGAATATAATGGAATATTCCTCTACTATAAGAAATGACAAATGTGATTAATATAGAGAAGCAGGGCAAGACCTATGTGAACTGAGACAGAATAAAGTAAATAGAGCCAAGAAAAGAATATATGCAATGAATACAGCAGTGTAAATGGGAAGGACAACCAAACAGATGTAGACACACAAAATCAAAAGCAAATGTAAAATTATAAAGAACTAGCATAGGTCAAAAGAAGAGAAGTCAGAAGGTAGCCCCACCACACCCCTTTGCAGAGGCAGGAGGAGGTCCACACATGTTACACACTGCATATATTTTCAGGCTTTTTCAATATTTTATCAGTTATGCTGATTTCTGTTTTCATGTTCTTTTTTTTTATTTGAAAAAATACTTTTTTTTTTTTACTTTTTAGTGAGGCAGTTGGGGTTAAGTGACTTGCCCACAGCTAGTAAATGTCAAGTGTCTGAGACCAGCTTTGAACTCAGGTCCTCCCCGACTCCAAGGCTGGAGCTCAAAAAATACTTTTTTCTGATATGAGCTGACTGTCTGAGAGTAGAGGGAGGGATATTTGAAGAAGCTATAGTTATGTAAAGAAACAAAATACATGAATAAAAGTGTATTTAAAAAACAAATAAGAGAACTAGAGGGAAAAGAAATTAGAGCTATGAAAGAAAGATTTGGAAAGAGAATCAATAGCTTGAAATGATAGGTACAAAAATTTACCCAAGGAACAAACTCCATGGAAAGTAGAATTGACCAAATATAAGCCAATGACTTCATGATACAACAAGAAATATTAAAACAAAATCAAAAGAGTGGGGTGGGGGGCAGGGAATAGAATGAAATGAGAAATATCTCACAGCAAAAATAAGTGTTATAGAAAACAGAGGTAGTTAGATGGTGCAGTGGTTAAAAAGTGCTGAGCCTGGAGTCAGGAAAACCTGAGTTCAAATGTGACCTCAGACCTTACTACTATGTGATTCTGGGACAAGTTATTTAAACTCTGCTTGCCTTTTTCCTTAAATGTAAAAATGGGGATAATAATAGCACCTCTATCTCAGGGTTTTTGCGAGGATCTGCTGAAATAATATTTATAAGTGACCTGATACATATTAGGCACTATATAAATGTTAGCTTTTTAAAAAAATTTATATTTTAGTTAGATTTAGACTAGAGGGGGCTAAATTGAGGTTTCCCACTCATAGTTTTATTACTTCTCCCTATAACTCATTAACTTTTCCTTTAAGTATTTAGATGTTATGCCATTTTGGTGAATATGTGTTTAATATTGATATTAATGTATTATCTATAGTACCTTTCAGTAAAATGTAGTTTCCCAGTTTATCTCTTTTAATTAAGTCTATTTTATGCTGTTTTGTCTGAAAATATGATTATTACCCTTGCCTCTTATTTTAACTCTGTATCTTTCTGTTTCAAGTGTGTTTCTATTTTGGTAAAGTAATTGGGGTTAAGTGATTTGCCCAAGGTCACACAGCTAGTAAGTGTTATATGTCTGAGGTCGGATTTGAACTCAGGTCCTCCTGACTCCAGGGCTTGGTGCTCTATTCACTGCACAACCTAGCTGCCTCTTCATCAATGTGTTTCTTTTATGCTCTTCTATTTTATATGTGAGTTTGTACCATTCACTTGCAAAATTGTGACTGTTAATTTAGTATTTTCCTCCATCCTGTTCTCATACTTTTTCTTCTCTTTGTTTCCCACTCCCTCCTTATAAAGAAGAGGACAGTAAGGGACAAGGAGTGAGCTCTGCACCTGTGCTCAAGATTTCGTATAACACGTTTCTGTTACCCCTGCCCCATTTCTCTTTATTTCACTGGTATAAACTGGTCTAAACATTTTGGGAAGCAAATTGGAACTGTGCCCCAAAAGCTATAGATCATGTGTACCCTTTGACCCAGCAGTACAGCTACTAGAGCTATACCCCAAAAGAGATCAAAGAAAGAAGGGACCCATATGTACAAAAATAATTATAGTAGCTCTTTTTGTGATAGCAAAAGAATTGGAAACTGGAAGGATGCCCATCAGCTGGGGAATGGCTGAACATGTTACAGTATGAGAATATGATGGAATACTATCGTGCTGTAACAGTGATAGACTCAGAAAAACCTGGGAAGATTTGCATGAATTGATGGAAAGTGAAGTGAGCAGAACCAGGAGAACAATTTATGCAATGATAACAATATTGTAAAGATAATCAACTTTGAAAGACTTAGGAGCTCTTCATAACTAAATAAAAGATAAAGAGAATCACAGGAGATAAAATGGATAATTTCGATTACAGTAAATTTAAAAGATTTTGCACAAATAAAACCAATTCAGCCAGAATTAGAAGAAAAGCAGAAAACCAGAGGGAGGGGGAAATTTTACAGCAAGTTTCTTTGATAAAGTTGTCATTTCTTAACTATGTAGAGAAATAAGCCAAATTTGTAAAAATAAGAGCATCCCCCAATTGATAGTCAAAGAATACAAACAGGCAGTTTTCAGAAGATGAAATCAATGCCATCAACAGCATACGAAAAATGCTCCAAATCACTAATAATTAGAGAAATGCAAGTTAAAACAATTCTGAAGTACCACCTCAAGGCCATCAGCTTGACTAACATGACAGAAAACTGGAAATGTCAAATGCTGGAGGAAATGTGGAAAAGTAGGCACACTAATGCTCTCTTGGTGGAGTTGTGAACTGGTCCAACCATTCTGGAGAACAGTTTGGAACTATGCCTAAAGGACTATAAAATTGTGAATACCCTTTGACCCAGCAATACCACCAGTAGGTCTATACCCCAAAAAGATGAAAGAAAAAGGGGAAAGACTCATAGGTACCCAAATATTTCTAATAGTTCTTTTGTGGTGGCAAAGAACCGGAAACTGAGGGATGCCCATCAATTAGGGAATGGCTGAACAAGTTGTGGTGTATGATTGTGATGAAATACTATTGTTCTATAAAAAATAATGAAGGGAATGGTTTCAGAAAAACCTGGGAAGACTTATATGAACTGATGCAAAGTGAAGTGAGCAGAACTAGAAGAACACTGTACATAGTAACAGCAATATTGTCTAATGATCAGCTGTGAAAGACTTAGTAATTCTGACCACTACAATGATGCATGACAATTCCAAAGGACTTATAATGAAAAATGGTATCTACCTCCAGAAAGAGAACTGATAAATTCTGAGTACAGAGTGACACATTTTTTTCTTCCCTTTTTTAAAATTTCACAACATGGCTAATGTGGAAATGTACTTTGCATAACTTCATATGTGTAATAGATATCATATTTCTTGCCTTCTCATTGGGTGAGAGAGGAGGTGGAAGGAAGAGAATTAGGAACTGAAAATAAAAATATTTAAAAATGCTTAGAAACACTGATCAGTACAACACCCAACCACAGTTCCAAAGGTCTCATGATGAAACATGCTACCAACCTCCGGATATAAAGCTGACAGACTCACAATGCAGACCAAAGCATATTTTTTCTTTGTTTTTTTGACATGGATAATGTCAGAATTTGTTTTACTTTACTAGACACATTTATAACATGTTTTGTTTTTCTTGCATTCTCAATGGGGGAGGGAAAGGGAGAGAATTTGAAACTGAAAATAAAATTGAATTTGAAAAAATGAATGAATAAAAATGCATTTTCTGAGCTTTGGGGTTACAAATACAAAGGCAAAGGCAATCCTCCGACCTCAAAGAGCTTACATTCAAATGAGGGAAATAAAGGGTAGAGGGGTGGTGGACAGGGAGAGTCACTTTGGTCTGGAAAGGTACTGAGATGTTGAGTGGGGCCACACAAGGAAATGAGTTGACACAGCCCATCCAAGGACAATGACGGAGTTTATTTGATCATGATTCTTGGTTCCAGATCTGGAGAGAGACGTGGCAAAACACTGTATTTGGCATCAGAGGAACTAAGTTACAATGTCAGACCTTCCCCTTCTTACCTGCATAACCCCAGGCTAGTCATTAACTTCTGTGGGCCTCCTTTTCAATAGTTAATTCAACTACAATACTTACTTAGCATCTGCTTTGCACTGAGTATTGAACAGGCATAAGGGATACAAAAATTAAAACAAGGCCCCTTAGGTGCCACCTCCTCTATGAAGCCCTTCCTGAGCCTCTCCCTCAAGAGAAAGTCATAGAATCATGACTTTATGCATGTAGACTTCACCCTGTTTGCTTCAGTTTCCTCATCTGTAAAATGAGCTGGAGGAGGAAATGGCAAACCGCTCCAGTATCCAGTGGGGTCATGAAGAGCCAGACACAACTGAAATGACTGAACCTTGAATCCAGAACTCTTTCTACTGTACTCCATGACCCTTATCTCATCCAGTTTCTCCTAATACGTTGACTAGACCTTGTCTCCCCCTCTCTTGTATCCATTGGCATGGTACAGCCCACTCTAGCCTGGGTCTGGCATCAGAAACCAGTCAGAGCACAATGACAGAGCTGAGCAATTTGCAGGTATTGCATCACACTGAGAGAGCAATAGACAGAGTGGGTCCTGGTCCCCCTCTTGCCCTCAAAGGTTCATTCTCAACATGTAACCACTCCACCAAATGTAAATAAAGTTCAGTGAGCACTCCTACAACCACAGCAGGTGTAAATTCCCTACAATCTACTACTAGCTTTCACTCTCCCTTCTACATCTTCAATGTTAAGAGATTCAGTCAAGTCAACAGCGATGCTTCCGTAACCCATCTTCCTGAACCATCTGAGATGGCTGCATCTACCAGTCAGTGTGGATAGAAGAAAACAAAACCAACAGTCAATATCTTGACCCCACCATCTCAATTCCATACCTTTAAATTTATTGATACACTGGTTCCAGAGAAGGTCCTAGGCTGATTTCCCACATAGTGAGTAACTTGAGAAAGACCTGTATGATTTCATAGGAATGAATGACATTGGACTTAGTGCAACTTTGAAACCTGTTGGAACTTCCAAGAGCAAGACGGAAGAAAGATGTCACCCACTTAATTCAAGATGAAAAATTCACCAAAAATGGACAACTAGACTCAACTTTGGGAATGAAGGTATTTTTGTCTTGATCCAGAAAAAGGTGCGTAAAACAGACTTGGTTTTCACTTTGGTTCATTAGCCATAAAATAACTAAATGTTATAAACAGCTTCCATATTTCTATTTCTATGGATAGTGGAAGAAGCGACATCAGGTTATGGTAGGAAATCCTCCATATGTTTCAGCAGTTCTAATTTAATGCCTGTGTACTCTACATAGGTTTTAAAACATTAAGGTATCACTATTCTCGTAAGAGCTAAATTATTTACTCTGAGACTTTGGATTTGAGATAACATATAAGTTGCTCTATCAAAAATGACATGTGACCAAGTAATAACCAGTTGGAACCTTCCTGGGATGAAGACATAATGAGTAAAACAGGCTTTCACAATATCCTGCAGAAAGCTAGATATTCTCATAACTTCCCTATCCAACAAAATGTTTGATTTCATTAGCTACCTTGATTTCCCTAATTCCAAAGGCTTTCGAGGTACAACAGCCTTTTCAGTAACTTCCAAATGCTGGTCATTTCAGCACAGCTCAGATATAACAGTTCTGAAGATGATCTGTTGTGAAGGTTGCTTATTTCAAAATCTCAAAATTAAGAAGCAAATATGTAAATGCCAAGCAAGGTAAATTGAGTTTTTAGAATGTAAGGATTGGGGGCTTAATTGCCTCATTATAAGTTCACAAGACCTTTTGTGCTATTTCTACAAATACTGTATTTCTGTAAAAAAAAAAAATCTATGAGCTGTATAACCTATATCAGATTGCTTACCATCTCAGGGAGGGGGAGGGGAGGAAGAGAAGGAGAGAATTTGAGACTCAAAACTTTTTTTTAATGTTAAAAAGTGTTTTTATATGTAATTGGGGAAAAATCAATTTTTTTAAAAATCTCAGTGAATCAGGGGAACTTACAACTGAGACTTGCCACCCACAAGTTTTCTCTTGTCCAGGCTAAAAATCCCCAATCTCTTTCAGGCAAGAGTCTGCAAAAGAAAAAAAAAAAGCACGCACAACACACTTTTTAATTTGCATTATTAATGCATCTTCCAGCACTTTAAGGCTAGATAATCAACAAAACAATACATGAAGCTCTGATTTGTAGCATTTGCAACTTCCAAGGTGTAAGCACTTACACTGAAAATTTAACAATCAGCTCGGCAATTATGAGCTGACTCCAGTATATTCCTGCTTCACGTGGATAATGAGAGACTGGCAGTGGGGACACAGAAGCAGAAATTCTTTGAGATCACTCCAGCCTTCCAGAGTATGGCCAATGCCAACAAGATTCTGAGGGCCTTCTTATTGGCCCCTAGATTAACCGATTAGAATAGGGCCCACTGGTGAGCTTGTCGAAACCAAGTAGAGTGGCTAGAGACAGCTAACAGAAATGGGGCCGGCCAAATGAAGGAATACCCTTGGGAGCAATCCAAGTAAGGACAGAACCATCCCAACGGATTGGGGGTGGGGATGAGGGAAGGATTGTGGGGAGACCAGAGAAGTGTGCAGATGGCCTGACCATGATTAAAATGTAATTGGGAAATATCTAACAAATAAATAACAATACAATGGGACATAGATACTGTTAATATGTGGTTTTCTAAGTCAATATGCAGCCCACAGAGGGGTTCAGTGTCCTCCATTTTTATTTGAGGTTGTTACCACTTGACCAGGAGGTCCCCTAGAAGCAGGGCTCCCATCACCAGGTTCACTAATATCAACTGGCATCAGAGTGTCCTTTTGTTGCACAGTTGGGTCCTACTCTTCTTCAAGGTCTTCAAAGGAGGTTTTCTTGGCAAAGATAGTGGGGTGGTTTGCCATTTCCTTCTTCAGATCATTTGACAGATGAGGAAACTGAGGCAAACAGGGGGAAGTGACTTGCCCAGGATCACACAACTAGTAAGTGTCTAAAGCCAGATTTGAACTCGGAAAGATGAGTTTTCCTGACACCAGGCCCAGTGCTCTATGCATTTGGTCACCTAGCTGCCCAGGAAAATGTTTCCAGGACACAGAAAAAGTTAAGAACCTTTGCTCTACCTAGCCATACTAGATCTTAAATTGTATTATAAAGCAGCAATCATCAAAACTACTTGGTACTGGCTAAGAAATAGAGTAGTGGCTCAGTGGAATAGGTTAGGTATGCAAGACAGTAGTCAATGACTATAGTAATCTATTTGATAAACCCAAAGACCCCAGCTTTGGGATAAGAGCTCACTATTTGACAAAAACTGCTGGGAAAACTGGAAAAGAGTATGGCAGAAACTAGGCATAGATCAAAATCTCACACCATATACCAAAATAAAGCCAAAATGGGTATACAATTTAGATATAAAGTCTGATACTATAAGCAAATTGGGAGAGCAAGGAATAGTTTACCTGTCAATTTTATGGAGAATGGAAGAATTTATGACCAAACAAGCGATAGAGAACATTGTGAAATGCAAAATGGATAATTTTGATTACATTAAATTGAAAAGTTTTTGCACAAAGCCAATGTAACCAGGATTAGGAGGGAAGCAGAAAACTGAAAAGAATTTTTACAGTGTCTCTGATAAAGGCCTCATTTTTAAAATTTATAGAGAACTCAGTCAAATTTATAAGAATATAAGTCATTCTCCAACTGATAAATGCTCAAAAGATATGAACAGGCAGTTTTCAGAGGAAGAAATTACAGCTATCTATAATCATATGAAAAAATGCTCTAAATCACTATTGATTAGAGAAATGCAAATCAAAATGACTCTGAGGTGCCATATCACACCTATCAGATTGGCTAACATGACAAAACAGGACAACGATAAATGTTGGAGAAGATGTGGGAAAATTGGAACACTAATGCATTGTTGGTGGAGTTGTGAACTGATCCAACCATTTTGGAGATCAATTTGGAACTATGCTCAAAGGGCTATAAAAATGAGCATGCTCTTTGATCCAGCAATAATAATACTTCTAGGGCTGTATCCCAAAGAGATCATAAAAATGGGGGAAAGGACCCACATGGACAAAAATATAGCAGCTCTAATCTGTGGTGGCAAAGAATTGGAAATTGAAGGGATGCCCATTAATTGGGGAATGGCTGAACAAGTTGTGATATGTGAATGTAATGGAATACTATTGTGCTATAAGACATGATGAGCAGGCAGACTTCAAAAAAACCTGGAAAGACTTGTATGGACTGATGTAGAGTAAAATAAGTAGAACCAGGAGAACATTGTACACAGTAACAGCCACATTGTGCAATGACTGACTTTGATAGACTTGGCTCTTCACAGCAATACAGGGATCTAAGACATCTCCAAAAGACTGACAATGGAAAATGCTCCACATCCAGAAAAAGAACTGTGGAGTCTGAATGCAGATAGAAGCAGACTATCTGCTCTCCTTTTCCTTTGCTGTTTTGTTTCATTGCTTCATTCTCATGATTCCTCCCATTAGTTCTAATTGTTCTTTACATCATGACTAATGGGAAAATATGCTTAACATGAATGTATAAGTAGAGCCTGTATCAGATTGCATGCTGTCTTAGGGAGGGGAAGGAAAGGAAGGGGGAGAAAATTTAAAACTCAAAATCTTATGGAAGTGAATATTGAAAACTAAAAATAAATTTTTTTTAAAAAAGAAATTATGAACAGGTAGACTTCATAAAAACCTGGAAAGACTTATATGAACTGATGCTGAGTGAAATGAGCAGAACCAGGAGAAGATTGTACACAGTAACAGCCACATTGTGGAATGATTGACTTTGATAGACTTAGCTCTTCTCAGCAATACAAGGATCTAAGACAACTCCAAAAGACTTATGGTGGAAAATGCTATCCACATCCAGAGAAAGAACTATGGAGTCTGAATGTAGATGAAAGCAGACTATTTGCTCTTTTTTTTTCCTTCTATTTTGTTTTGTTTCTTCTTTCTCGTGGTTTCTTCTATTGGTTCTAATTCTTCTTCACAACATGACTAATGTGAAAATATGTTTAATAGGAATGTATACGTAGAGCCTATATCAGCTTGCATGCTGTCTTGGGGAAGGAGGAGGGGAGGGAGGGGGAGAAAATTTAAAACTCAAAAGCTTATGGAAGGGGGCAGCTAGGTGGCGCATTAGATGTAGTCAGAAGGACCTGAGTTCAAATGTGCCTTCAGGAACTTGAAACTTACTAGCTGTGTGACCCTGGGCAAATCACTTCACCCCGATTGCCTCACCAAAAAAAAAAAAAAAGATTATGGAAGTGAATGTTGAAAACTAAAAACTAATTAATTTTTAAAAAGAACCTATGTCCTATAGCTATCATTATTATTATCATTCTAATTCCAATTTTGTATTTAACCAAGTTCATAGAAACTTTTTTAATGTTTACTATCTGTTGGGTTGTGGCACAGGTAAACGAAATGACAGCTTTTTTGTCACTGAGTCTAGGTGTTGGGGTGGAAGGGCATCTTCTTTAGGGGCCTGTCTGTCTGGATCGTTGGTGTGGGTATCATCCTCCTTACCAATAACAGCATCCCAGGGACCGAAGCAGCAGGAACGTCCAGGTCTCAAAGCCAGGCTCCCAAACCCTCCCGGGAGGATGGCTTGCTGCCTGAGCCTTCAAGCAGCACATTTTAGCAGGAGACTTACTGGGATCTGTAGCCAGATCCTCTGACCCCCCCCACCCTGTTCCCCTTCCACTCCCCATACTGCTTCCCTTCCCATTTTTAATAAAAACAGACAGAAGATAAAAGGGGCACATTGTTGTTAAATCTTTCCCCCCAGTGCCCAGCAGCCATCAAAGAAGGACCCAGCTTCTGAGGTTATGTTCCATCTTTCCTGTCATTAAGCTGGAGCAGGAGAGAGGGAGGAGGTTGCCCCAAACTTGAGAAGAGGGAGATGGAAAAAGACAAGCTGGTCAGAAGATGATAGGGAGGTGAAATTCCCAAGCTTGATCTCTGGAATCTCTCCGCACTCCCCATTCCGTAGAGTCAGAGCCCAAGCTCTCCCACTGCAGGGTGGGTGAGGCCTTCCATCCTCATCTGTGTTGGTTCAGCTGTGAAGTTACAAGTCTTTCAGCTCAGCCCTGATCTGAGCCACAACCTTGACCAGTTTTGATTCATTCAAGTAGCCATCCACATATCCATCTCCTCCCTGGGAAACCAAGAGGAGCAATTCCCTGGAAGCGCCCCCCAACCAGCCTTCCCCAGCCTCAGCCCCCATCCCTGGCTATGCTTCTCACCACTCCCACATGTTTTCCCTCAGCCTGGAACAAAAAAAAAAATGGTAAAAACTCCCATTTAAAGGTTGCAAAGCAACCTCCCAGCAGCCCTGGGAAATTAGGTATCATATTATCATTCCCATTTTCCAGATTAGGAAATAGACCCCCAGAAAGGTGAAAGACTTGCCCTGGGTCATGCCTTGTGGCCAAGCTGGAACTCAAACTCACACCCTTTGACTCCAAAGCCAGGGGACTTTCCAGGTCCAATCTCACCTTTTTAGAATGCACCAGCCTGCCGGCTACAAAGACCTCAAAATCCTCAGAGGGCTGCGGTACTGGCTCTTCAACCTAGGTCAGAGGGACATGGGGAGAGGCTTGTGTCTGCAGTACCCCACTATGTAATATGTACATTGAGTCATCTTGTGCCAGGTATCAGCAGAGGGGGAATGAAGTGTCCTCCACCCAGCCCGGGGAGAGTCTACTCACAAAGATTAGCCGTTCTGGGAAAATTTCATTCAGCTGCCTTTTCAGTCGGGTGAACTAGAGATGAGGAAGAGGAAATCACCCAGGGGTTGGTAGACCGGGTTGGAAGACTCCTCCTCTAAAAGGGCCACAGATATGATCTCCCCCACCCCCAACACACACACACACACACACACACACACACACACACACACACACACACACCCTCTCCACACTTCATCAAGGAACAATATTCAGAAGAAAAACTCACCCGAAAACGGTAACTTCAGGAATCGCTGAAACAGGTGCAGAGACAAATTCAAAGACATAAGAGGCAGAGACAGACAGAACAGGTCCTCATCCAAAGATACGGAGAAGTCAGATGGACGGAAAGAGAAACCAGAGATTTGGAGAGATTGAGGACATAGAAGAAGAGATACAGTAGCCAGAGACAGAGACACCCCAGATAAAGAGATAGACAAAGATGAAGAAAGAGATTGATAAAGACAGGAATATGGAGAGATAAAGAGGAGGAAACAGGGAGGTCCAATGAAAAAGACAGGCAGGAATAAAGATATCAATGAAGAGGAGGGAAAAAGACGAAAAACCAGAATGTTCCCCCTTCCTAATAACTAAAACCTGGTCACTTTATTACTTTAGATTTACAAATCACTACATATACATACATTGTTGGATTTAATCCTTACAACAACGCAGAAGTGTGAAGCAGATACTACCAGTAAAATCCTCACTTTAGAAAAGAGTAAACTGAGGCTCGGGGTGCTTACAGCAAGCTAATACAGCCCGCGTAAGTCAGAAGTGGAATTGCAGCTCCCAGCAAGCCTTAACTGAAGTTCAGCACCGCCCTTCCCCCACCCCCTAACTGCCTCTTCTCAGGCACCACCGCACCACCTGCCCCGGGAGGGGAAGTCTGGTCCCTACTGAACCGGGAGCTGAGTCCCTCCGTCCTAGACTGAGCTGAGACTGGGGATACCGCTGCAGAGAGAGGGGTAAAGAGCGCAGGGAGGGCAAAAAGGGGCCAAGAAGTCCTAGGAGCATCCTCCCACACACTGTAGAATAAAGCTAGGGAGAACAGAGACCCCTGCTCCCTGCCATTCCTTCCCTGGCTTTCAACCCCCTTTCTAGAAGGGGCAGAGGAGGCAGGGCGGGGACTGAGGCCTCATTTACCAGAAAATGACCAGAATCGGAATTGGAGAGGCCTGATCGGGACTTCTGCTGAGCTGTTCCGGCAAAATGGGTGGGGGGACCGGGTCTCTGGAGGTGCAGGGGTCGGTTTCCATGGCCCCCAGGGGGCGGTGGCGCCCGTCTAACACACCTGTGCTCAGGCGGTCACACGATGCCCCAAGCCATCGTTCCGAAATAGAATTCGGTCACAAGAGAGAACTGTTGCATTGGTGAGGTGTAGGGGTGCGCCCTGGGGAAAGGTCTTCCCAACCAGTCCCCTGCCCTCATGGAGGACAGTCACTGGGAAACGGGGAAACATTTCCAGGCTCCAGGTCACTCCGAATCACAGGATCACAGATGGAGAATTAGAAGGGCCCTTACACATCTAGTTCAGCTCTATTATTTTACAGGTTAAGAAACTGAGGCCCCAGAGAGGCGAAGTACTTGCTCGAGGACACCCAGGTTAACAACTGGCAGCGTCAGGATTCGAACCCAAGTCCCAGGATCTCAAGTTCAGGCTACCTTTCTACAGTATTACTGCGACTCAGGACCTCCCTCCCTCTGTCTCTCTCTGTCTCTCTCTCTCCCCGTCTCTCTCGTGCTCTCACTCGCTCTCTCTCTCTCTCTCTCTCTCTCTCTCTCTCTCTCTCTCTCTCTCTCTCTCTCACACACACACACACACACACACTCCTAAATTTTCCCCTTCCAATGTGGTCTCAGAATCCCCAGCTTCAGGAGCAGCTAGGTGGCACAGTGGATGGAGCACCGGCCCTGGAGTCAGGAGGACCTGAGATCAGATTCGACCTCAGACACGTAACACTCACTAGCTGTGTGGCTCTGTCACTTAACCCCAATTGCCCTCACCAAAAAAAAAGAAAAAGAAAAAGAAACACCAGAATCCCCAGCTTCCAAACAGCACTGGGCAAGAGGAGGGAGCAGGGAGTAAAAAGGTTGGCGAAGCTTGGTGAATGGCAAAAGATTTTAAAGATATTTCATAATAACTGCATAAAATCATTTATTATTATTAGAATCCACATGTAACCTCTGTTCCTCAAATCTGGGTCCAGCCACTGGAGGGAGAGCTTCGGACCCTTGTAGCCCAATGATTCCTTCCTCCCAGTGAGATCTGGAACCCAAGCCTTCTGTCAGACTGGGCATGAGGAGTGAAGGAAGCGTCAAGGGAAGTGGGGGGAACGTTGAGCAGATGGGCTGGTCTCCCTACACGTCTCTGGGTGGTGCTGCCTCCAACCAGTTTGCACAGGAGCTACAGTCCGCGTCAGGGGCTGAAGAAAGCTGCAGTCCTTTCCCCCTTGCCTCTGTCCCACCTTTTCCAGGGGGCTGTTGTCCCACAACCCCAGAGATTCTCCTAGAACCAATGTGGCTTGGCAGGAGGGTGGTGGTAGGATTTCTAAATCCTCTGTACCCCTTCTTCCCACTTCCAACTGAAAACCTCCTAAGAACATTACAGAGGTTAACCTTGACTGACACTTGTCTACACATCTCCCCCCAGGCCCACACCAGAGAACCCGAGATGGATCCTGGGACCACGCACAGAGAAATGGCATTGAGTAAAATAAAAATCATTCATAGATACATCTGCAAGGATGACGAAGGGGGACTGTTGTAAATATTCTTTTTACACAGTTCAAAGTGGGAGATGAGCTCCTTGACTCCCCCAGTACAGAACTCCTGAGTATCTGGAACAGGCATCCTGAGCCACAAAGGGATTAGGGTAGCTCCCTTCCCCGAGAGACTTTTCCTGCCTGCTGACGCTTCATTCCCCCCCCCCCCGAGTGTGTTGGGGGGAAGAGGGGAAATGTCTGCAGAAACATCGTCAGAGAAGAAATATGTTAACGTCTCTATGTCTTCGAGGAATGAGGAGAGAGGGACAAGTCCAGCGGAGGGCTGATTCAGACCTAGAAGTAAAATGTTTGGACAGGGCCGTCAGTCCAGGAGTCAACATAGAGTTGTGCCCTCCCCCTCCTGAACCATCCCAGGACCCAATGGAGAAAAAAAGGGTCTCAGGATAGAAGCCCTCCCCCTGCCTCCAACTCTGTGAAGGGGAGAAATCAGCGACTAGGGGCGGCGAGAAGGAAGAAGATTTAGACATCGGCAAAGAGAGAAGGGGAAGGCGGAGGCTGAAAGGGAGGAAAATGAGAACACTCACCTCTCTGGCAAAGAGGGAGCAGTCTGGGATGACATAAATGGTTCGGGGGTCGCTGTCCTCGGGAAGACACCATTCTTCAGCCCTGTTGGAGAAGGTTCTAGAGTTGAAGGGGGGAATGCTCCCAGGTCCCCCGCCCAATACTACGACTGGAGAAGTGACTCTCAGAAATAGTGGGACAGATAACTCACTGGAAACTCGAAGGGACTAGGGATTAGCACTAAGGTTTTGGGCGCGAGACACAGGACCCAAATTCAGTTTCTCCAGTTTCTCGGCCTAACCCTGAATTCTCTTCGCTCCCCTAATACTCAAACCCCACGCGCCAGCCTCCTCCGTTCCTCCCAGGCGTTTCCGCTACCCAGCAAAGACAAAACTGTCAACTCTCGGATCACAGATTAGAGAACGAATCAGTCCGCACTGCAAGCCCCATACAACAGAACGGGCAGAAACGGGGAACATTTAGTGGCTTTGGCTCTCTGGAACTTCACCTCATCCCGGACGGGTGCTCCAGCAGTCGTTGAGTCCGCTCGTGCTTGGGCGCTTTTAAGTTCCCGAGGCCCTGAAAAGCGGAGGCCAGGGAGCCGCTCTCGTGAGCACGGAGGTTGTTGAGTGCGTCGGCTGGAGTAGGGGTTGGCGGGGCAGGGTCTGGAGAGGAAGGAAGGGGCCGCGCTCCCAGGGTCCGCCATCGAGCCCGGACTCTAACCAGGAGGGCCGCACCTCCAGCCACAACGGCCAGCAGTAGCACCAGAGCGAAGGGAAGCCCCAAGGCCGGGGGCAGTAAGTGCCTGCTACGGGCTGCTTCTGGGGGCCCGCGGTGGGGCCCGGGCGGGGGCGGAGCGGGAGCAAGCTGGAGTTCCGACCCTTCCCCGTCTGTGGGTCCGGGATTCACGGCGAACTCACAGCGTGCGCCCATGAAGCCCGGCGCACAGGAGCACACGTGGCCGGAGAAGTGCGCGTAGCAGCGGCCACCGTGCGCGCAAGGCTGGGGATCGCAGGGGTCTGCGCGCTCACGACAGTCGCGTCCCCCAAAGCCCAGCGTACAGGAGCAGCGGAAGCTGTGTGCGCCATCCACGCACGTGCCCCCGTTGGCGCAGGGCCGTCCCGCACAATCATCCAGGTCGCGCTCGCACCGCGGACCCCCGAAGCCGGGCCTGCAGCGGCACAGTACGGCGCGGCCCAAGTCCAGGCAAAGACCACCTGCGACGGAAAGAGAGCCCCGGGTGGCACGTCCCCCTCTTGGCTAGGCTGAGCCGGGGACGCACGGAGGCCGCATTCCCAGCTCGACCCGTCCCTTTTGAAGATGCGCACCAAGTCGGAGAAGCTACAAGATCGAAGGATCTCAGGCTTGGAGGGGACCTCTGAGAGCATCTTATCCAATCACATCTGCCTCATTTTATCTCTTCCAAATCACCTCACTCCCGTCCGTTCCTCTCTGCTTTCCTTGCCCTCCTCCCCCCCGAATGCAGGTTTCTCTTGGCATTTCCTTGGTCTCCCCCTTCCTCTTCTCCACTCCCCAATAAAGGAAAAGGTGAAGGACGTGGGGCTCTAGGTCCTTCTGAACGAGCCTCACAGCTGACCCCATACCTCCTGTAGGTCCCTCTGCCCCAGAATTCCAGCCCATGGTCGGTGGGAAATCAGGACCTGGATTTAAGCCATGGCTGCCACCTAGTACCTTAGGAAACTAGCTCATCTGTGGTTTTCTGGGCCTCAGTTTTTTCATCGGAGAAATGAGAGCATAGGACTAGATCATTTCTAGTTTTAAGCCTATCATCCAGTCATCTCTGGGCCTCAGTTTCCTCTCCTGGTAGATGAGGAGTGTGGCCTGCATGATCTTGAAGGTCCCTCTGAGTCCTCCCACCTCCCCTCCCCGAGGCTCACCATTGCGACAAGGTTGTAGGCTACAGCGATCCACCTTCTTCTCACAGTTGGATCCATGGAAGCCTGGTGGGCAGCGGCAGGTGTAGCCAGCAGGGACTCCGCCATCCATACAAGTACCCCCATTGAAGCAGGGCCCATCAGCACACGTCATTCCAATGACCTCACACCGCTTTCCATAGAAGCCCCGTGGACATGTGCACTCAAAGTCCCCAGCCACCTCCTGGAAGAAGACACGGGGGAGGGGGTGTTAAGAAGAATCAGAGGTCATAGTTCAAATCTTGGCCCTGCTACTTACTATGTGCTTTTGGGCAAGTATCTTCCCTTCTCTGGGCCTCAGTTTCCTCATCTGTAAGATGAGAGGACTGAATCTATCCCTAGATGATCCCCTTGTCCATACAGCCACCGCACTGATTCTGGCCCTCACATTTCCTTTCCAAGCTGTTACAATAGCCTCCTTACTGATCTCTTTACTCTATTCCGTCTTCCACACTTGTGCCAGAACAATCTTCCTAAAACACATATCTAATTATGGATGGCACTTCTCTGCTCTGAAACCTTCAGTGGCTTCCTCTTGCCTCTAAGGATAAAATATTAACTCTTTAACCTGGTATTTCCATTTCTAACCTAAGATACTGCCCTTTATAGCATCTTTCTGGATACTGCCCTTTAGAGATTCTGGGCTCAAGCTGAACTGAACTTCTAGCTCTTCCCAAACTCAGAATTCCACCCTCCCTGCACACCTTTGCACAGGTTAACTGGGAATACAACCCTTTATCTCAGCCTGTCCTGTCAAGTCTTAGCTGAGGCACCACCACCTCCATTAAACCTTCCCCAACCCACTTTCCCCATCTCTCAGTGCTAGTGTTTTACCCTGCTCCAGCTCTGTCCTATTAGACCTATTCCTATACACCTTGTGTCTATCAAGTGTAGACTCCTGGAGCTCAGGGACTCTGGGTTTTGTCTTTGTCTCCCCAGAGCATAGCACAGTGACTTGCATCCTGTAGGGGGCTTAATAAGTGTTTGCTGAGTTGAACTGAGCCTAAGCAGCTTTCCCGTTCTCAGTCCTGGGATCCCTTATATGTATCCTCTTGTTGAGCTTCTGAGGATGACTGGGCTGGATTACAGGATCATGGCTCTCAAGTTAGAAAAAACCTCAGAGGCTATCTAGTCCATCCCCCCCCATTTTACAGATGAGGAAACTGAGACCCAAGAAGAGACCCCTTTCCCTGGCCCTCAATACCTTGTCCCCAAGATCATTCAGCCCTATCCTCTAAATTTTGCCTTCTGCCTAATCCAAGGCCTGAGCCCAGGTCCAGCACAGTCCTAGACTAATCAGAGGACCCGGTGAAAATCTGCTGATAGATTGACACCAGGGATCATCATGATGACATAAAAAGTGCCCTGGATTCCATTCAGGCAAACCGGATTCAAGTCCTGACTCCCCCACTAACAAGCGGTGTTAACCTTGGCAAGTGACCCTGCTTTGAGCTTCAATTTTCTCATCTGTCATGGATAATAATAATCCATGCAATAGATGGACTGTTGGGAGGAGTGACTTCAAGGTTTCTAATCTGGCCTCAGACACTTGACACTCACTAGCTGTGTGAGCCTGGGCAAGTCATTTAACCCCGATTGCCTCACCAAAAAAAAAAAAGGATTGTAAAACACTTTCTGGACACTATCTATGAAGTATTATCCTCATCCCCATCCAATAGACAGGGGAAACTACTTGCTAGCAAGTATCAGAGGCAGTATTTGAACCTAGGTTTTCCTGACTCTGGTTCCAGTATACCATGCTGTCCCATAAAGGAAGCATTTTGTAAGTGCTCTAAGGCATTAATTTTAGAGCATTTGGGAAAAAGGGTCCCTGATCAAAGGACACTGGAAGGTCAAGTTCAGGGTGTGTGGAACAAGGAGAGCCAGAAGTCAGGGGTAATGAACTGGGGGCAGAGAATACTAACACTGCAGCTGCCACCATTGGTACATGGGTGACCATCACACAGTCCAGCTGGGAAGAGGCATCGGTGGCTGGAGAATCCTGGGAGGCTGGAGCAGTCACTGCCAGGGACTAGGACAGTGCAGAGGGGGCCGGTCCAACCTTGACGACAATGGCACTCCCCTGGCCTCTCACAGGAGCCATGCTCAGCACTGCAACCTGCCTGACATATGGCTGCAGGGGAAGAAATGCAGAAGGAGGGAGTGAAAGATGGAGGAGACAAAGGGGTGATGAGAAACAAGAGTGGAAAGACAGGAACATTTGGGGAAGAAATATTAGAGGACGTGGGGGGAGAAGAAGAAATGGTGAGGGAAAGAAGGTGGAAAGACAGGAGGGTATGAGGCAGAGATATTGGGGGAGACAGGGATAGGGGAGAAATAGAGTTTGGAAGAGGTTTGTAGAAGATATTGAGGGGCATGGTGTTTGTGGGAGAGATGGGGAAAAAATAAAAGTTATGGGAGACATGGTGGATATATGACATTGGTGATCTTGGCAGGAGAGTCATTGGGGAAGATGAAGTGTGAGAGATTTGAAGGGAGAATCAGGGGGAGGTTAGCAAGAGAAATGTTTAAGGGAACACCACAATATTTAGGGAATAGAAAACAAGGAACAGACGATGGGGGAGACCCAACAGGGGAGGGGAGAAGGCTTGGTAAGCTGTTTGATAGCCGCAAAGCTCAGCCTGACTACCACCTCCTCCACCCTGCCCCAAACCTGGGAATGGCCTTTGGAGAGGGTCGCATTGCAGGGATTTCTCAGAGTCTAGGGAGGGGAAAAGATTGGGGAAGGGTTGAAGTCTAAAATCAGGGTGTTTGGGGCCAAGGGTCTACATCATTCTGGGGAAAAGAGAATAAGGCCTGTCCCTGAGTCGGAATGTAGGCCCCTGTCCCTAGTTCATTGACTCGGTGCACACCTATCTCCAGCCCACCCGTCTATGCACATCCTTCCCGCTCTGCCTCTGCCACTAGCCCACACTCACGCCGGGCACACATGTCTCCAACCCAGCCGTCCATGCACACGCGCTCCCCATTGGCCCCGCAATAGAAGTGGCCAAGGGGGTCGTCCCGAGGGCGGCAGAGGCGGGCACAGGCAGGACCATAGTAGTGAGGCTCGCAGCGAACCCTGTAGGAGAAGAGGAGCTCCCAGCCTCCGGCCTGCTTAGCATCCTGGGCCCAGGGGCCGCCGACGGCCAACCTGTGCCGCCCAGCCAACCGACTCAACAGACTTCGATCGGGCCCTGAAGAGAGAGGAATATGGTAGCTGGGGCTTTCCTGAAGGCGGACCACAGGTCTCCCGCCTCCTTGATCTGGGAGCTCTTGAGAACCCAGCCCCTCCCCCCATATGGAGCCTTTGAAGTACACAGCCTACCCCACCCCCACCATTCTTCTACTTGTGATTCAGGACTACAGGTCCTCTCCTATCTTGGGGAGTAGGCCCTGCTCTCTGACAATCTCTGACACGTTGGCTTGGAACCACAGAAACTCCTACGCATGGGATCCTCAGGGCCCAGACCTCCGCCGCTTCTCCTGCGTGGTCCCCCACCCAGACACAAGAGTTTTCCATACCCAGTTCCACCCCGCCCCCCCGCCCCCTTGGAGATCATAGACCACCCCTTCCAATATAATTCCACCCACACCCTGAGTGCCCCGCTCCGGCTGATGCCAGACCCCTCCTTCCCCTTTCATCTTCTCCCTCCTCCGCCTCCTCCCCCCTGCGTCCCTCCCCCCCACCCCTCCGCCAGGCCCTCACCTGGAAGCTTCTCCCCCGTCTCTTCCTTACTCCTGGATTCAAGTTCCTCCCTCCAAGACTCGATGATTAGAGAGAAAGTCCCCTGGAGAACGAGCAAAAAGGACATGGGGGAGTGTCAGCAGGGGGTCAAAGGGAATTCGAGAAGGGGTTAGGAGATGAAGTATGGAAGAATGGAGCTTTCTTAGTTAAGGGGAAAGGTTCCAGCTCAGAGGAGAGAGGCATTAAGTAAAACATGGAGGAGACAGATATTATGAGATTGAGAGAAGAAGATGCAGCTTTGTATAGAGAGGACCTGAGGGTCCCTGGAGTCAGCAGTGAAGGTTGGGGTGGAAGCCTGAATCCTGAGGAAGTTTCGGAAATGGGTAGAGGAGGCTGTCTGGTTATCCCTCAGGGAACAGGAGGCCATTAGGAAAGGAGCCCCACGGTTAGGCTGTGGCGTCTTCAAAGACAGCTATTTCTATAGGAGACAGGAGTACCATAGGGTCTGCTTTTGTCGGTTGCGGGGTGGGATGTCTGGAGACCTCCGTTTCCCAGAGTTACTGAATTAGAGTCTGGGGAGGAATTGGCTGGGGCAGGGGCGGGGGAGGGGGAGCGTCCTGCAGCACTGCAGCATCTTAGGAGGTGTTCTGGGGATGGGCTTCATCCCGCGTCCAGGAAAGAAGGGGGATAAAAGGCATAGGTACGGCATTTCTGGACATCTGAGGACATAACTTCTATAGAATTGGGCGGAGTGGGGATTAAGGACCCCGGAGGGGTCTGATATGGAGGTCTTCACACAGTCGTGAAATAGGGGTCTAGGGACTAGAAGTCCAACAAGGTCCCCAGGCTCTGGCTCCGGGGGCTCCTTACCGGCCAGGCGGTACGGAAGGGGACACGGATGAGGCCCTCGGCCAGGGAGAGCTGCGGACCGGGATCGGTGGGGTCCCCGGGATCAAGGGTCCCCAGGGTACTGAGCGCAACACCCAAGGCACACGGCAGGTCCGGGCTCCGGTCGGGCAGCGCCGGCTTCAGGCAGACACGAAAGATGAGACGGCAGGAGTCCCGGGAGCCACACGGGGAGTCTGAAGAGTCCGGGGACCCTGGACCGGGCCGGAAAGAGTGGATCTGCAGTTCGAAGACCCCGGCGCAGCGGACCTTGGGGAGCAACAGGGGGCAAGAGGTCAGAGAGTCCCAAGAACCCCACCCTCCTGCCCCGGTATCCAGCCGGATAGCCTTCCCTGGGGCCTCCCCGATGCCCCTACCTTGGGAAGGCAGAGTAGAGAGACCAGAGAGACCAGGAGCTGGATGGTCAGCGGCCGACTGGAGGCCATGGCGCGCAGGGTCTGGAAGCACCCGAGGCTGCGAGAGCTGCTTTATAACCCAAGGCGAGGCCCCGCCCCCAAGGAGACCCCACCCCAGCTTAGGCGGAGGGAGGAATGCATGCGTGCGTGTGTGTGTGTGTGTGTGTGTGTGTGTGTGTGTGTGTGTGTGTGTGTGTGTGTGTATTTCTACGTGGTGGTCTGGGCGCACAGCTCCCTGCCGGCGACTGGCCATCCGCGTTACTAAGTCGGTTTGTGACTGTGTGATCTTGTAGGCATCGCTAGCTATGTTACTGTCGGACGTCACTCTTGTCTCCCTGTGTTTCTGGGTCATTGCTCGCGGGTGTATCCAGGTCTCTGCTTACACCCCAAAGTGCTCCGAGGCCGTAGCTAACTTCACCCTCCGCTCCTGCTCAGCCGGAGGTGGCAATGCCAGCATGTTTGATGGGAGCCCGGGGAGGAGAAGCGCCCAAGGTGGGCAGGCGTGGAAGGGGGTGCCCACACCGAGCAGAGATCACGGGCTCTCAGGAACCCGAAGTCTGGAGTGATCGTGTGTCTTTGTAGATGTCTGGATCGGGGGGGATTACGTTTTGGGGGATTGTGTGGCGAACGTGTCTTTGGTGGCTGTGGCTGTCTGTATAGTGTTGCATCGATCAATGTTTGCCCCAAACTCTATCCCAAACCCCGCCGCAAAGCCCTTAACGTTGGGGAGTTTGGCCCTCCCCTGGGCAGTCTCACTCCTAGTCACAGTCTTTCTGTCCATCGGGGCAACGTTCCGGGGGCGGAGGAGGGGGTGTAGGGCAACGCGGAGCTGAGCGGAGATCTCCCCCCATAACAGAGGCCAGCCTGCCACCAGGCTGGGGCTTACCAGCTGTATGTAAATCTGGCCATCTGCCTCCCAGGCTGCCCAAGCCCAGCCAGCCCCTTCCTTTCTCGGAGGCCCCCCTTCCTTCTTTGGTCTTCCCCCCTCCGGCTTTATGACCTGGGGGGGAGGGGTGTCTCCATTTGCTCCAGGGGAGGTGTGAGCAGCAAACGGACAGGAAATGTCTCCGCAGCATTACTCTGGCAGGCACCTAGGTACCAGCTGGTCAGGGAGGGCAGTGGTCAGCCTCAGGTCCTCCTAAGCTAACTCAGGCTCCTCAGGCGCGCACCCCGACCCTATGAACCTCACCTTCCAAACTCTCTCCCCTCCTTCACGACCATCACTACACATTCAGCATCCTAGGATCCCAGAGAGGGGATGTTTGGAACTATCTGGCCCAACGGCTAACTCAGGACAGACACACCCACTATAGCATCTCAGCCAGGGAACTGGACTCTCTAGACGCTCCTCCAGAAGCAGGGAGTTCCCTATCTCTTTAGGTAGCCTGTCCCGAAGTTATGTTCAGAGACAGCAAGTCCTTTCTTACATGGCGCTGTAACCTGTCTCCTGTGGAATCCTCCAAATGGCCCCGATTCTACTCTCTGGATCCTTTACTGAGCACACTTTAATCCTCTCCGCCACAGTGACCTTGCGGGTGCTAGAACACAGTAGCACTATCCCCCCCAAGTCATTCATTCCTCCAAGCGAAATATTCCCCGTTCCCTAGGTCTCCAATTATAGACCTAGGGAACAGGGAATATTTACACGCAACCCCTCCCCCCAATCCCACTACAATTCTGGCTTTTTTCCAAATGTCTCCAGCTTGTTGCTCTGTCTAGATCTGCGTCTCTGATTTTTCTCCCCATATTCCCATCTCTCCTTTTCCCTCTTCCATCTCAGGCCCTATTTCCTCAGTTTAGCTCTTACCTATCTTTGTATTCTTTCTTTCTTTCCCTCACTAGAAGATAAGGCAGGGACTGCCTTCTGTATTTGTATCCTCTGCCTAGCACAGTGCCTGGCCCATAGTAAGCACTTAATAAATGCTAGTTTCCTCCCTCCCTTCCTTCCTCTAGTCCACCCCCTCTTTACTGAGAGGAGGGAAGTTCGTTCCATCATGTCATCTGGAGTGAAGACTGACCATTCCAGACCTGAGTAGTCATCTTTCACAGTAATGTTTGCTTTTCATGTTATTGGAGTCACCAAGTATATTCTGGTCAGCTTCCTTTGCTCTGCATCAGGTTACACAAATCTTACTGAGTTTCTCTGACTTATGTTTGTCATTTCTTACAGCACAAAAATATTCCATACATTCATATGTAGAGATTTGTCTGGCACTAGGCTTTGGAGTCACAAGCATGTGGCTTCAAATCCTGCCAGATATCAACAAGCAGTGTAACCCTGGGGCAAATCATTTAATCTTCCTCCCCATGCCTGTTTCTTCATTTATAGTTTGGCGACTGAGGGTTGGATTTGATGACCTGTAAAATCCCTTCTGGCTCTACATCTATGATCCTATATATGACCAGGTGTTCATCCACTCTCCCATGGATAGACACCCATTGCTTCCAGTTTCTTGGCTACCACAAGGTGCTGTCATAAATGTTTTGTATAGATGGAAAGTTTTCCTGTCTTTGTCCTCCCTCTATGGGTTATATGTCCAGGTGCAGGATTACTGGATCCAGAGGGTATGAAGACTCATTTTCCTGATTATTTTCTGGAATGGTCATAGCTGTTCACAGTTCTACAAATAGCAGTGTTTTAGGATGCCCTTCTTCCCACAGCTCCTCCAACATTGTCTTATTTCAACTTTTACCACTTTGGCCAATTTTCTGGGCATAAAGCGAAACCTATGTTGTTTTCAAGTACTTTTCTCTTATGACTAATGATTTGGAGCATCCTTCTCAAGGTCGATTATGATTTCTACTTTGTCCTCTGAAAATTGTTCATATTCTTTCATCATTTCTTAGGGAATGGCTCGTGGCCTTACATGTTTGTACCAAGCATCAAGTACCTATAGATCTTGGACACCAGACCTTTAGCAGAGATATCTGATGCAGTTATTTTCCTGATTGAAACTTTTTTTTTTATTTACAGGATCAGAGATAAAGTTGGAAGGAACCCACCATTTAGCCCACCCCAGTCCCCATTCTACAGATAAGGAAACTGAGACCAGAGAGGTTAAACAATTTGAAGTCACATATTGATTTTATTCATACAAAAGTTTCTCTTTTATATGACCAAATCATCTGTTTTGACTTTTGTGATTGCCTCTATCCCTTCTTGGGTTATGAACTCTCCCCATAACTGTAGACTTGAAAAGTAGCTCCTCCATTTTTTAGTATTTCTTCTTAAAACATTTTACATTAAGGTTATTTATGTATTTGGTCTTTATTGTGATATATTTTATGAGATACTGGTCTTCATCTAATTTTTCCCAAATTGAACCTTAATTTACTCAACACTTTTTGTGAAATGGGGAGTCTCCACCCCTGCATGATTCACATTTTGGGATCAAACACTGATCAGCTCCGGCCTGTTTGATTGCATTTGGATCTTAACTAAACTTTCCACAGACCCACTTTTTTTTCAACCAGTACCAAAGAGTACCGATGATTACTGCCTTCTATATATTGGAAATCTAGAAATGCTAGGTCCCTTTCATTCCTTCCTTTGAGATTCATTACCACTTGTTTCTACACACAAACTGTATAATTAATGTTTACTTCCATGCCAGATTGGTATGATATTAAACTGGCTAAGTTTAGACACTATTGCCATTTTCATTATATGGGCACAGTCCAAACACAAAGAGAAGAGAATAAACATTTGTTAAGTGCCTACTGTGTGCCAGGCACTGTGCTAAGCTTTACAAATATCACCTCATTTGATCCTCACAATCACCATCTGCATTTTATAGCTGAGGAAACTGAGGCAGAGCTTACGAGACTGGTCCAAGATCACACAACTAAGAAGCTGGATTTGAACCCAAGTCTTCCTGACCCCAGAACCTAGGCTCTAATCTGCTGCATCATGATTATCTTCCCAACTGTCTCTGTTTCTATCCAGCGTTTGGGTGAGCCCTGAGTATGCCTTCAAAGGGTAATTCTCAGGGAGTTCATGGATTTTGTGTTATAAATGTACAAATGGTATTTCCCATCTCCTGCTGGGGCTGTAAGCAGGTGACCTGTGTGGGTTCCTCTGGCAGCCTGCCGTGCGAAGGTGTGGTTCTATTTATTTTGCTGTGAACCACTTCCTCTGCAGAGGTCATTCTGCCCTCCTCTCTGCCCAAGCTTACTCCCCCAATCCCGACACTTCTAGGATCAGAGTTGCCTTTCTGCCTCTGCCTCTCCCTGTACCCCTGCTCCTCTCCTGGCTGCCCTTTCTCCAAGGCTGAGGAGCACCCGCCCGAGCCCACCCATCAGCACACTGCCCAAAGGGTCCAAGGCACATACAAGGTTAAAACCTTCAACTGACAGAACCAGGGCTTCTCCGAGCTGGAAAGGACCTTCAGGCCTGGGAAGGGTCAGCTAGAAAAAGGAAGACTGAGGCTGACAAGAGAAGTAACGCGACCACAGTCATTCATGCAGATGGCTGAGCTGGGATGAGATGTCACATCTCCCAGCCAAGACCCCCGACTGATGATGATGACCTCTCTTCTTCCCCTGCCCCCCCAAATGAGATACCTCTGGACAAGGTGGCGCTAGGACGGACTTTATTGTCAGGATGACCATGGCCCCAGGGGCTGGGGCAGGGAGGGGTGGACAGAGGCGGTCAGGGCTGTTTGGATCGGGGCCAGAGGCGGCTGGTAAGAGAACTAAAGAACAGGCTCTGTTTGGTGGTCTTGGCCAGGTCAGCCATGCGCTGCTGCTCCTCCTGGGGGTCGGGGGGAGAACAGGGTGAGGCCTCGGGGCCCTCTGATGAGCACCTGAAGACCCAGGCTCCCCAACCCTCCCCCCAGCTCCTTCCTCCAAGAAGTCCTCCGTGGTTCCCCTCCTCCACGCATCTCCACACCCAGAAGCTACAAACCTGCTCCAATCGTGACTGCCGCTGCTTGAAGGCCTCCAGGGGGTCGTCCTCTAGGGCATAGTTCTCTAGGACTGTCCGGACGTCCTCCACTCCGTTCAGGGCGATGGCTAACGGAAGGGAAGAGGGAGGTCAGAGGACGGGAGCTAGAAGGGGCCAAGCGGTCACCTAGGTCAACACCCTTAGTTTACAGATGAGGAAACCAAGGCAAGGAGGGGCCTGACAGAGTTGGGATTCGAACCTGGGTCATTTCACTCCCAACTCCACACTCCCCACTCCTTCCACTGAAGCCCGCTGCCTCAAGGCCAGGATCAAAGGCTCAAAAGGCAAGACCTGATGGTCTTGAGAGA